TTTTATGGCTTTTGAGCCAAAGGCCCCATGCATGTACACCAAGTTCGAAACATTACGTATAAAATGGACCCTAGGAGGCCAGATCTATGGTTTTGACGCGTTAAGACCCAGTATAATCGACTGTATAGTTTTGGACAAAGAGGGACTCGGCGAGTAGGGACGCTTTTTCCCCCAAAACGTCCTCTGGAAATGGTTTTGGTTGAGTGGAAGGAACACTCAGCCTGCTAGGGGTTTGTCTTGGACCTGGAAGTCATAGGACTCGGCGAGTATATGAACAGACTCGGCGAGTCCAAGGCAATCTCCCAACTTATGAAGACGGACTCGGCGAGTTCAATGGGAACTCGGCGAGTTATAGACTGGACATCTTCTTATGGATGAAGATGAACTCGGCGAGTCGGTTGAAGATTGTCCGATGTGTTGTTGAAGGCGAACTCGTCGAGCTCTTGCTAGACTCGACGAGTAGGGACGGGATTATGGCATTTTGTGGATATGGGGACTCGACGAGTTGGCGGGCCAACTCGGCTAGTCGAGTCAACCAGATGTTGACTTTGACCAAAAGTTGACTTTGACCATGGATTTGACTTTGACATTGACTGGGATTGAGTGACCCTTGTAAGGGTTACGAGTATGAGTTGATAACTTGGAGGAGTTGTCGTGTAGGGATTGAGGAGTCGGGGAGAGTCGATTTCCACACTGAGATCAGTGAAGACACTACGCGACAGTGAGGTGAGTTGCCTTTCAGTAGTGGTGGGTCTACGGCCACAATGTCGACCCACAAGTAAGAGTTGTATGTCAGATGATGGTCTTTGTGATATTCATCTAGGTTTGCTACTACCTGATATGTTTATGTGCATGATATGCTATATGTGATAGTGGTAGTAGGAGGGGAATAGTCCCCAAGTTAGGTTGTTAGGACCGAAGGGTAGGTCGGGCACCCCAGATATGTCTGACAATATGATTATGTTATGATATTATGTGGTAGTAGTAGGAGGTGAAATAGTCCTCGTATCTCGGTTGTTAGGACCGAAGGGTAGGTCAGCACCCCAGAATGGCTTGACATGGGTAGGTCAGCACCCCAGAACGGCTTGACATGGATAGGTCGGCACCCCAGAATGGCCGGACCGGGTAGGTCGGGCACCCTAGAATTGCCCGACAACATGTATTCTATGTGACTGTATGGTATATGGTATGATGGGGGAACTCACTAAGCTTTGTGCTTACAGTTTCAGTTTTGGTTTCAGGTACCTCTTCATCCAAGGGGAAGGAGCCGGCGGTATAGCAGCGCATCACACACACATATGAGCTTCACATTGAGTTTTCAGGGATTGTACTCTGATATTTATTACTATTGATGATATGGTTTGAGACACGTTGTTACGATTTTTATAAATTGATATGACATTGACAATGTTTTTGGTAAACTATTTATTAGTTACTTGATTAAAAATGAAATTTTTGGCCTTGAAATTTGGGATGTTACACTAAACATGTCCATAAGTTGGTTAATTCGCTCAAATGGTTATGGAGTTCTCCAAACTCCAAGAACGCCATTAAAGGGACCAAGATGACACCACAAAACAAACCAAAATCTAGATCTAGTGTCAAATAAGCATAAAGGTGGAAGCTTTGCATCATACCAAGGTCCAAAAGTTGATTGTGTGAAGATAAACTCCAAGGAAAACAACTCACAAACACCAAATGATCTATCTTTTTCTACAATCTACCAAATACAGCTTCCAAGATTAGTAAAACTTGCAAGGAAATAAGGGAAGACAATATGGAGGCTAAGGTTACTCCAAAGAGGCTCTTTGAGGTGATAAAGGTTGCAAATGACCTAAAACTTGGAAGCAATGCCTTTAAATATGAGGTAAACCCTAAAGTCATGGGCTTGGGCTACACCAACATTCACGTTGTGCTACTTTATGTGTCGCGCCGTGATTGGCCTCAATCAACATGAGCCCAAATTGATCCCAACCCAAAAACTAACCCTTTAAATCAAAATCCTTATACTTTTAGCCCGATATATCATTCTTTTAAGGACTAAACTTTATCCTTTAAAGCTCGAGACCTTCTCATGACTAAATTAAAGTCCGCCATTTTGAAATAAGAAATATTCCTAAAATCGGATGTTACAGAGAGCAATCACTATCGAGGTACCAGATATGCCCATTCCCCTTTAGTTCCTTACAAAAACAATTATATTCCTTTTTGAACCAACTTAGTCATGGGTTTCATAACAAAAGAATTGAAAAGATTGTAACATTCAGGTTGAAGACAATTTAATGATTTATCCTTTCTAACTGTTTGCAACTTCACAAGAAGAGTCACCACATTTGTAGCACTTACTCCATTTTTTTATTCTCATAGGCCTGTAAATAATTTTATTAAAGTTTGTTGGATTTTTGCTTTGGTTTCCAAACTTTGATGAATCGACTTTGATTGTGTTTAGAAAAACCTTTTAACATTGATTGCTTGCGAGAAAGTTTTTTAGCGTGTGATGAACAAGTTGAATCATAATGTACTAATAAAGTTTTTAGGAAAGAAACATTATCAATATCATTTTGTGCAAGAGAGCATTCAATATCAACACGTTCTAAAGTAGTGGTTTCATCACGGTAATCAATGAGAATGTTTGTTACAACATGAAATTCATCACTTGAGATCAAATGGTTGATTAAGTTTTTCACACTGGTAACAACATACTCTTGATTTGGTCATTTAATAAAGGATCAATGGCATTGATATGACATATCACTTGAGTATGTCCGTTAGAACCAGTTTCACAATATTTATTTATCAGTTCTTGATTTTTAATCTCTCCACTTTTGACAAAATTTGATCTATATTCATCAATTATTTATTTTCTTTAAGGAATGCTTGGTTCAGTGTCAAATAAATCAAACAGTTCAACTACTTCTTTAAATTCTCCACCAATATTTTTTTGCAGATTAATGGAGGAATTTTATCATTTACAATCTTAGTCACCCGAAGATATGAAAATGCCAAGTTTTTAATAATTCTTTCTATGTTTGATGAGTCATTTTCAATTTTATCTCTTTCAATAGTGAGTGTTTCATTTATAAATTTTTCATTACAAGGTTTAATACTTACTTGTGAAAGATTCTTTTCTTTGTTATAAAGATCAACATATAAGGATTCTATTTTTTTTAATTCAATTTTTCTTTTTGGAGAGATTTTAAATCATGACACAAATAATCAAAACATCATGATTTTTTATTTTTTCAAGATAATTGACAAAATTTTTTAACCCGATATGCTGATGAGGGATCCCAATCCATATTTATGCAATCCTTAACTCCTTGAGTAAGATCTTTGTCAAAGGTGCTGGAGTTGTTGCTGTTTGATTCTTTAGTTATAGCCATAAGACATACGTCATTTCTTTCAATCTCATCATCATATGAGTCAACTTATTCAACCCACTTCTATTCTTTAGCAAGAAGAACCTTTGAATTAAGATTATGTTTCTTTAAGGATGCAACAAGTCTCTTGTACTCATCGTACGAATCTTCTGTTGTATCATTCCCTTTTGCTTTGCAGGTATTTCACATGGTGTCAAGAATATCCATAGTTGTAACACTTATATGATTTCATATTGTCAGTATTGAAACCCTTTATTACTGCAACGCTAAACTTCTTAGATCGACCAACTTTGAATTTCCTTGGACCATTCAACTTTCTAACTCCTTGATTTTGTTGAACTGCCTGACGATTATAGCGGCTTGAGAGGTAAGCTTAGAGAACTGTTTTAATTCTTCATCCTCAATGTCATCATCACTGTTGCTGTCACGATCACTTTCAACAAGAATCTTCTTTGAGATAAGATCAATAGACTTATCCTTATGACCATCTTTCATAATTTATTTTCTTTAAGCTTTTTCTCTCTCATCTTAGATTTCCAAATAAACTCTACAAATCCATATCTTTGATTTTCTCACTGTTCTCGAGAACATCAACATGATGTTCCCATTTATCATCAGGTGAATCCAAAAACTTAAGAAAAATAATAAAGTTATGCTTGATAATACTTCTCATATCAGTTACAAGACGGTTAAATTAATTAAAGATTTGAGTAAAAGATTCGTTCCTATAGGCAAAGAATGCTCGTATTTTCGATTTAAATTGTTTTATTGAGTGACTCTAACTTCTTCAGTTCCTTCGAATGCAACAGTCAGAGCATTCATCATCTTTTTACCATAAACACAATTTTGCACCAGGTGATAGATCTCATAGGGAAGGGCATTGCAGATCACTGCTCTGACACGAACATCAATATTCATCATTTTACTATCTTCATCAGTCAAGAATGTTCTAGAGTTCTTTTTGGTTCTCCAGGGACACCGTCTCTCGTTTCACAAAAAGTTGGAACGTAAGGGCCTTTTCAATGATGCATAACATGTTGTAGTCCATGGTTTCCAAAACCATTAGGGCCTTGCTTTTCCACATAGAGAAATTCTTTTCATCGAAAGGTGGAACTTATTCATAGATGGAACTTATTTTGATTAAGGGTTTTTTCGATCAACACTTCTCACCAAGAGAAGTTGCACTAAGCGGCATACAATACATAGAACCCTAGCATAACTTATAAACTAGGAAAATAACAAACTATATGAAAATCCATACAAATTAGAGATTTATACAATCTATACAAAACTTAAATCCTTATCACTAACATAAAGGATTCTAAACTTAGTGTACAAGAAAACCCTTCACGCCGGAGCTGAATTTCTTCATAGTATGATGCAACGCTGAATAAGTGATCAACATGAAAGGTGTTTGACACTCATCAGATTCTTAGGTTTGACCTAACATAACTCTTATTCAAATCACAATGGACACAGTGGCTAATTGATGGGGAATGATAGAGATTTGTTCACCTTCTGCAAGTGTGAACAACGTCGACAATGGAAAAGTAAAGGATCAAAATGGTCGGTGTCCATGTGGCAAAGCACATAAGCAATTAATCTTATTCAACTAGTGACATGGCAAACCGCGTAGGCAAGGGGATGCCACCTAGGATGACTAACAACTTCAAATGGACGGTGTTGGCAAAAAAGTATTGGTGGACAGGTTTTATAAACCATAAGGACCAAGTGGAAAAATGTTTCCATAATTATCCTAATTACGTCTATTTTGAAAAACCAAAGGATCGATCGCGTAAATTTTGTATAGATTTTAATTGGTGAAGGTTTTGGGCCGGTCGGGTCTAAGCGTGTCAACGTGATCGTATAATGAGACGTATTCCGTTTTCTACGGTGATCCATGAATACAGGGACCGAGGTCATAGCAGCAAACTCGAATCGAATTGGTGAGAAAACCTAGGGCTTTTGTTGGGCTTCGTCTCGTCTCTCTATATCTCTATATTGGAGTATTTATCAAGCCAAACTCTCTGCTCTTACCTCTTAGTCGTAAGCCACTCCCCTTCTGCATTTCTTTATGCAATTTTTCGATTTAATCCCATTCATTCTACATTCATCTACTCAATTTGGATCTCAGGGGTATCTCTTGTGCCGCTGGAGGAAAAAAATTCCTCATTCTAGAAGTTGCAAAGGTGTTTGATCACTGATCAGTGTAAATGATGATTTTCTTCAGCTGATTTTGTTTTTGTTCTATCCATCTGCATCGTGTTGTAACTTTTTGAGTTTCTTCATGTTAAGAATCTGTCACGGTTCATACCAGAAAACAATTCTTCTGTTGGATGGATGTAATGTGAAGAAGATTAGGGGGAATGAAAATGACATGTTTTGATGATTCTTACGTTACGTTATTGAATTACTTTGATTCGGTTTTGATCTAATTTCCTGATATTTTAGGGCTATAGAGGTGTTCGTAAACTGCTGTACTAGGTGTAGGGGTGGGGATTCGGATAGGAGGGTTGGGTAGTCTTGGTTTACGAGCTACCTCGTGTCGATGTTCGTGTGATCTCTGTTTCTCAATCGACTAGTTCGAATCTCTCAAGATTGACGTCGGTTTCGTCTTGATTTGAGTATGCAGTTGTTTGGAGACAGATTCTATATCTCATTTCCGTTTTATTGAGTCCTTTCCTATATCCATATTGAGAACTTATGTATGTGTGAGACTGCAAAATGGAGATCGGAGAACATTAGATATAAAAGATCAAAAAGAAATTGACTTATGCTCCTTTAGTTTCTTTAAACCATATCGGTTCACCTGATGGCAGTTAATCTTCTTCTTGCTCATTTTCTTTTTACAGGATTGTTGACGTCTTATAGATAGCACGGATTGGTGATGATCAGCTCATGGTTCTCAATCATAGCGTTCTTTCCATAACCTTTATATATATGTACTATTTTTCTTTTTTCTTTTTGACCTCTCATATGTAATAGGAAATAGTTTGACGATGAGAGATGCTTTCTTGTATGATGAACAATGTAACATCTATATATGTTATAATATCTGGTTCAACTCATATGCTGTAGAGTTGTAGTTCTTGCTTATATGGCCAAATCTTGATTCTTTCTGTTACTGATACATGGGTTTACTTTATGTTAATAAGTGTGTGATCTATATTTGTTTTAACTGAGTCACTTACATTCTTATCTTTTTCTGTCAGGATTCATGACCTCTTCTTATCATATATTTTGTAGACCTAAATTGGATTTTGCTGGTTCTTGACACCTGAAAAACATCAATTCTAATCAAGAATGGAGAGCTTAGCACAGCTGGAAGCTTTGTGTGAGAGACTCTACAATTCACAAGACTCAGTTGAAAGAGCCCATGCTGAAAACACCCTTAAAGTCTTTTCTGCAAATACCGATTACATTTCACAGTGTCAATACATATTGGACAATGCTTCAACTCCTTATGCATTGATGCTAGCTAGTTCAAGTCTTTTGAAGCAAGTGACTGAGCATACACTATCACTGCAGCTGCGTCTTGATATAAGTAATTACTCTTATAACCTTCTTCTTTTACACATCAATACAACTTTCCTGACTTGTGGACATCTAATGAAGGAAACTACATCATTACCTATTTGGCAAAAAGGGGACATGAACTTCAGCCATATGTGATCGGATCTTTAATCCAGCTCTTGTGTCGGGTGACAAAGTTTGGTTGGTTTGATGATGATAGGTTCAGAGATGTAGTCAAAGACTCCACAAATTTTTTGATCCAGGTAGTATCCTATGTTCTTCAGAGTTCATGTGCATAAACTTCCACTTCTTTCTTCTTATGTGGTGACTTTTTTATATATTTTTGTAGAAAACCATGTTACACATCACCCAAAAAACAAAATGAACAGAAACTGAACTAAAAACTACGAGTTTTGATCTATGTTATAAATAATAAAGGGCATTTGATTACCTCATAGTTTTTAGAATCAGTCGAGAGTCTTTCCAAGAATTCAGAAAATTTTCAAGAATCAAAGCTACAGAGTCTTCTGTTGCACTTTTTGAGTAGCAACTAGCAAATCCCTTTTATCTTAATGCTCTTTATATAACTTATTTGGTATTATTGTTATTATCCTAAGATGCATATTTTATCTTTTCTTGATGCATAAGAATTAAGACTTTACTTACATGGTTGCTGTTTTTATCAGGCATCACCCGAACATTGTTCTATTGGTTTAAAGATACTAAATCAGCTTGTTAGTGAGATGAATCAGGTTTGTTAATATATTCCTGCTCCTTAATCACTTCTTGGAAGAATCGTTTATTTGGGCTTTTTAGTCAATATTTTTATAACTTTTCATTACATGATGGAATTTTGTGATTTATCATTATCTGTCTTCCTACTTCTTTTCATTCTTACCTGTTCTTTTTTCATCTGATTTCACAGCCAAATCCGGGGTTGCCTTCTACACATCATAGGAGAGTTGCATGCTCCTTTAGGGATCAATGTCTTTTTCAAGTTTTCCAAATATCTCTTACTTCACTGCAACAGCTGAAAACCGATGGTAATGTGATAGTGTTTTTAAGTTTTTTCACTTCAATTTTGGTAAAAAAATTCAACCTTTCTATTTCACAATCATTTTAAAAGAAAAAAAAACAATTATATACATGCAGTTGGAAGCCGGTTGCCTGAGTTGGCACTTACTCTGGCATTAAAATGTTTATCATTTGATTTTGTTGGAACATCAATTGATGAAAGCTCAGATGAATTTGGCACTGTTCAGGTATGACTTTTAGTCTTCTACACTTGAATCTTGATTAACATATGAACAAGAACACTTGATTAAATCATTCTTTTCCTATTAATATTTTACGTAAATGCCATATAAACCCTTAAGTTTGCAAGTTTTTGTCGGTTTTACCCAAAGTCGTATTTTAGGTCCATTAATGCCTCAAGTTTGCAATTTTTTTTTTTCAATTTTACCTTTTTTGCAAATTTATGCGGTAAAACTGAAAATTTCTACCAAACTTAAGGGCTTTTATGAACCAGAAAAAAGGGTAAAACCGAGCATTTCTGTCAAACATAAGGGCTTTAATAAATCAAAGGGTAAAATTGAAAAAAAAAAGTTGCAAACATCCGGTTTTAATGAACCTAAAATCTACAAAAGGGTAAAACCGACAAACACTTGGAAACTTAAGGGTTTTTATGTCATTATCACTAATATTTTGAATGAACATTTGCAGATTCCATCTGGATGGAAGCCTGTTTTAGAAGATCCTTCAACACTACAAATATTTTTTGATTACTATGCAATCACAAAGCCTCCATTGTCCAAAGAGGCGAGTCATTTCTCTTGTTTATCAAATATATTCCTGAATTTCTAGCTTGTTTGTTTAATATTGAAATCTTTTTTCTACTTTGGTGTTGTATTTTATAGGCTCTTGAATGCTTAGTGAGATTGGCTTCAGTAAGGCGATCTTTATTCTCAAATGATGCTGCACGTTCTAAGTTCTTGGCCCATTTAATGACTGGATCCAAAGAGATCCTACAAGCAGGGCAAGGTACATTTTGAAAATTTTTAATTCTAGTTATTATTACTAAATTATTAATCAATGATAATGATAATTCTAGTCATACAAGTTCATTATCTTTTCATATAGCAAATTGACTTTGATTCTTGAAACCAACATCACTTCTGCTTCTATTTTAACCAAGGGAGAATTTTTTATATACCCTTATTAAACATCAGATTATCATATTTGCCCAACTTAATTTCTAAATATCTTCATAAACTTTCAAAATATCGTATATGCCCTTTTTAAACATCAAAAGATCATAAATGCCCTTTTTAAAAATTAAAATATCATATATTCCCTTTTTAAACATCAAAATCAATGGTAATATCTAAATTCTAAACTACCCTCCATCTACAACATGAAAATAATCAACAACAACAAAAACTAAACAATCAATGCATACATTCCATGGAGAGGGCAGAAGATGAAACATTTTGTTTGACATTCCAACAATTTAGAAGTAGACATTCAATTATTATAGATGTAGAGACAATATGGTTAACTTTTTTAATTAATATAATAATTCTAATATATAAAAAATGATTATAAACTATTAAAAACATTGCAAAAAAGGATTTGGGCAACATATTGTGAAGGTTTATGAAGGGTAAATATGATATTAAGAAATTAAATCGAAGAATTTTAGAAGGGCATATATGAAATTCTCCCTTTAACAAAAGATTCCCTTTTTATGTGGAAATAGTCCCATATCAACAATTATGATTCTATTCAACAACCTAATCTAAAAGGTTATTTGTGAATCCTGTATCAGGTCTTGCTGATCATGATAATTACCATGAGTATTGTCGTCTTCTTGGACGTTTTAGAGTAAACTATCAGGTAATTTTGAATAATTTCAATAAAATATATCTCTTTTAATAATTTGATCTTATTTATGATTCTTACAGCTATCAGAACTTGTAAATGTTGAAGGCTACAGTGATTGGATACGTTTGGTTGCAGAGTTTACTTTGAAATCATTGCAGTCATGGCAGGTTGACTTTTGCTATTTCAGTCTTTCAGATAATATGATATAATAAATTAATAATCATATAACAATCTTCTTTGTACTATTTTCTAGTAATAAATAAATAAGACTCTCTTCTTTACTTCTTTACTAAATGCAACAACATATGTTTACTTTATTTCATGCCTCTTACAGTGGGCTAGTAGCAGTGTATACTATCTTTTAGGGCTGTGGTCAAGATTAGTGACATCTGTACCCTACTTGAAAGCTGATGCACCTAGTCTTCTTGATGAGTTTGTGCCCAAAATTAGTGAAGGTTTTATCACATCAAGATTTGATTCTGTACAGGTATGTGACACATAATTCATGAAGTTTATATTTTTTAAAATTAGTGAAAGTTTAAATGTGTAAAATTTGAACTATAGGCTACTCCTCAAGATGATCTCTCTGAAAACCCTCTTGACAATGTGGAGCTTCTTCAAGACCAACTTGAGTGCTTTCCATATCTTTGCAGATTTCAGGTAAACATGTCACATGTGTGTGTGTGTGTGTGAGTGTGTGAAATTTGAATGATACATATTGTCATATTTAATCGAAATCTTTTCTGCATTTCAGTATGAAAGAAGTAGTTTGTTTATCATAAACATTTTGGAGCCAATCCTACAACTCTATACGGTATGTTTTAGTTCAAATGTGAAATGGCATTCCTGTAAATATTGGTATTTATGAATTATGAATTATGACATGATGTTTAATATTTGATTTCTGGATAATAGGAAAGGGCACAGCATCAGATTAGTGATAAAAATGAACTATCTGTCATTGAAGCTAAATTAGCTTGGATAGTTCATATTGTGGCAGCTATATTAAAGATTAAACAGTGTAGTGGTTGCAGGTAACACAAATTAAATATATTCTTTTTTTACATTGTTGAAATAGTTTTTTTTGTCATTTGATCATGTGTAATTTTTTATACTTTTCTTTCAATTTAGCACGGATTCCCAAGAAGCTATTGATGCAGAATTATCAGCTCGTGTTTTGCGTATTATAAATGCCACTGATAGTGGATTACATAGTCAGGTAAATCAGTAAAATGCCTTTCACTAGAAGTAAAGTCTTGTTTTCTTTTGACTTAATGCATTAAGTCCTAACTATTTACAAATGTTTCCTCATTTGTTTTTTCCTTCCATTTCCCCATTATTCTCTGAACATCATTAATCAAAACAAATCTTTATTCAGAGATCACTTAATGGAACAAGAAGAACATCACCTATGATTTATTTATGAGTAGTTATATAAAGAACTTATTAATTTAAGATGATGGATTAATCTAATATCTAATGGCAGAGATATGGTGAACTAAGCAAACAGAGACTTGACCAAGCAATTTTGACTTTCTTCCAACACTTCAGAAAGTCTTATGTAGGCGATCAAGCTATGCATTCTTCTAAGGTAATGAAATAATAAATACATGCAACAAAATAGCAATGTACTTTCATTTATTTGTGTATTATGTCATTCTACTTTCATTTCTTTGTATAACAACATTGTTCTTCAAATCCTTATCTTATTAAGGCATTGTACTTTGAAAAATCTATATTTATACATTAGATTCTTCAAAGTAAAAATGAAAGTAAGATGCTATAATAAATTAAGTAGAGAAAGTACATTGCTATTTCTTCAGTTCAACTAAAAAGCTATCGATTTTTGTTGCAGCAGCTTTATGGTCGACTATCTGAGCTGCTTGGACTTAATGATCATACTCAGGCGTTAAATTTGATTGTTGGAAAAATAGCAACAAACCTCAAGTGTTACACAGAGGTAATTACTAAAATCTCCCTTGTTTTAAACAATATTGGAAAATTTCATACGATTTCTCATTTGCCATTTTTTACGTACAGAGTGAGGAAGTTATTGGTCACACCTTAAGTCTGTTTTTGGAACTTGCATCTGGGTTAGTTCCGTTTATGATTTATATTTGTGTGTGTGTGTGTGTGTGTGTTTTCTATAGGAAATGTTATTAGTTATTAGTTCTTAACCATGGGATGAATTTTCTTGCAGATATTCATCAGGAAAGCTACTTATGAAGTTGGACACAGTCAAATTCATTGTTGCAAATCATACAGTAATTATCTTCTATCTGATTTTTCTATATAATTTACAAAAAGAAAACAGTAAAAGGGTATTTTGGTCATTTTCCATGATTTACATTCCAATCCTTTGAAAGATATACAGTAATTTTCTATCTGATTTTTCTTGGAAAAAAGCATGTCATTTTATATAATTTTACAAAAAAATCAATAAAAGGGTATTTTGGTCATTTTCCATAATTTACATTCCAATCCTTTGGAAGATATACAGTAGTTTTCTTCTATCTGATTTTCTTGGAAAAAATCATGTCATTTTATATAATTTACAAAAAAAATCAATATTGGTCATTTTCCATAATTTACATTCCAATCCTTGGAAAGATATACAGTAATTTTCTATCTGATTTTTCTTGGAAAAAATCATGTCGTTTTATATAATTTACAAAAAAAAATCAATAAAAGGGTATTTTGGTCATTTCACTCCAATTCTTTAAAAGATATGCAAACCAAACAGAAAACAACAGATTCTAATTCCTTTGATAGATTCTAATTAAACTCTTTATATTTTATTATTATTTTTTTTTTGTAGAGGGAACACTTTCCATTCTTGCATGAATATAGATGCTCACGTAGTAGAACAACATTTTATTACACTATTGGTTGGTTAATTTTCATGGAAGACAGCCCTGTTAAATTCAAGTCTTCAATGGATCCACTATTACAGGTAGCTTCACAACTTTCATAAATCATAAATCATAAATCATAAATCATAAATTTTTAACAATAGTTTGATGATTGTTTTTATTTTTTTATAGGTTTTTATCAATTTGGAGTCGATCCCTGATACTATGTTTCGTACTGACACTGTAAAATATGCATTAATTGGATTAATGAGGGATTTAAGAGGAATTGCAATGGCTACTAATAGGTAATTATTTCATAAACATTCTTTTACTAGATAGTTTCAGTTGTGTTTATATTGATTATTGGATTGTTATAATTTATAAATGGCATTTATATTTGATCAATTTCAGCCGAAGAACATATGGACTTTTGTTTGATTGGTTATATCCTGCTCACATGCCAATCCTTTTAAAAGGCATCTCACATTGGGCTGACACACCTGAGGTAAGTTCACAAATATTCTTTCTAAATAAAAGTTTTTTTTTGTCTATTTTTGATTTTGATGTACTCATGTTATCCAAATTAATATAATATTCATGTCATGCACCTATATAGATTGTTAAAATTCATACCATGTAATTTACCATATAAGGGTTTTAAATGCAAGAAATAACAATGTAGGTCAAGTGATTTTTTTAGCATCCTATTGTTTTTTCTTATTACAGCATTGTAATTTGTGATTTTTTTTTTAAATTGTCAGTTTTGGATAATTACTTTCATATTAGCTGAAAGCCTGAAACAAAAATGTTTATTTAAGATAAAAAGTTGAAATTATTTATTCACCTTTTTTTTCATTTAAGAAAATGCCCATATTTTTTGTTAGTAGTTTTATCTGGAAAAAAGATATAGCTGATCAATTTTTAAAAAATATATATATTTATAAAACAAAATGTTTATTTATCATAAAAAAATTGAAATTATTTATTCACATCTTTTTTTTTTTATTATTATTTAAGCAAATGCCCATATGTCTTTTTAATAATTTTATCTGGAAAAAAAACTTATTGAATATTATAGTTGCTCATTTTTTTTTTGAAATTTATATATAAAAACATTATTTGTGATAGAAAATATACATTTAAATTCTTCAACAATAGAAAGTCTTTTTAGTCATTTTATCTATTAGCTCTATGATCAAAATTTGGCAGTTTATTATTTTATGATCATATAATAACTTGAAACAACAAAAGCAAAGGCAAATGTTATCTCAAGTAATGTGTTGAAATCACAATTTATAACAATTATTTTCTCAAAATAAGTTGTAATTTGCAGGTTACTACACCACTGTTGAAATTTATGGCTGAATTTGTTTTAAACAAGGCTCAACGTTTAACATTTGATTCCTCTTCTCCTAATGGGATCCTTCTTTTTAGAGAAGTTAGTAAGCTTCTTGTTGCATATGGATCAAGAATCTTAACTTTCCCTAATGCTGCTGATATCTATGCCTTCAAATACAAAGGGATATGGATTGCATTGACTGTTCTTTCAAGGGGTACATACCAACATACTTTCATTTTTTAATCTATTTTTATTTTAATAAGAGATTGTGATGTTTTGTTTCATAATAATTGACAGCCTTGTCTGGAAACTATGTAAATTTTGGGGTGTTTGAACTATATGGAGATAGAGCTCTTGCTGATGCACTTGATATTTCTCTAAAAATGACACTATCAGTTCCTTTAGCAGATATTTTGGCTTACAGGAAGGTATGGTATTTAAAATAATAATTTTAACTTATTATCTAATGTTGTTTTTGAGCTAATTCTTATTTTGTGTGTGTTTTGTAGCTTACAAAGGCATATTATGCATTTTTGGAGGTTCTATTCAACAGCCATATTGTTTACATGTTGAACCTTGATACAAACACTTTCATGCATATAGTTGGGTCACTTGAATCCGGATTAAAAGGCCTTGATACTAGCATCTCCACTCAGGTATATTATTATATTTTCGACTTTTCTTTATTAATGTCTATAAATAAATAATAAACAAATAAAAATCTTACTTTTTGTTTTGTTAGGCTGCATCAGCAGTTGATAATTTGGCTGCTTACTATTTCAACAACATCACCATTGCGGAGGCAGCAACTTCACCTGCTGCTGTCAACCTCGCTCGCCATATTGCAGAGGGCCCCACATTGTTCCCAGAAGTAAAACTACTTTCTTTAAAAAAATGAAAAATGAAAAATGCTATTTTCTACATCCAATTAACCCTTCTTTAATCTCTTGGCAGATACTGAAGACGCTGTTTGAGATTGTTTTGTTTGAAGACTGTGGGAATCAGTGGAGCCTTAGTAGACCAATGCTCAGTTTGATACTAATCAATGAACAGGTCATTAATTTACCACTTTATTCCTTCTACTTTTAAATTTTAATACATACATAAAAATTAAAATTCCCATGAATACATTAACCATATGATGTTTTTCTGATTGTTATTCACAGTTTTATTCTTGCCACCTAAAACGACCTAGTTTTGAATAAAAATAAAACTCACCCTCTTAATTCTAAAATAACCACACGAGGGTGATTTTTTTTTTTTTTACTCAAAACTACGTCGTTTTGAGTAGTGTTTTATAACACCCAAGCTTGGGTACATGACATGTGTGTGTGTATTTGGGTGTAATTTGATCTTTGACTGAAGTAAGTCAACTAACCACTATTAAATTGTGCAGATATTTTTGGATCTGAAAGCTCATATTTTAGGCTCACAGGTTTCTACTTTTCTTTTCTATACTTGTACTGAATTTTCTTAATCTGTCTTTTGTGCAAAAGACGTAAATACCCTTCTTGTCCTCGTCATCAAAAATAGCTTTACAAAGCTCATCCGGTCTGGACGAGACTAGACAAGTTTCCTAGGGTTATTTTTGACAACGACGAGGAGGAGGGCATTTTCGTCTTTTGTAAGATCAAGAGCAAGTCTGTGTCCCACGTTCTTTCACCTTTTTGATCGAGCCAAAAATTACATTTTTTTTATTCCCCATTGACAACAATATCAGGATCAGTATCAGTAACAACGAGATGTATTTGATATTGCAGCCAGTGGATCAACATCAGAGGCTGTCATTATGCTTCGATAAACTAATGGCGGACATTTCAAGAAGCTTGGATTCCAAGAACCGAGACAAGTTTACACAAAATTTGACAATATTTAGACACGACTTCCGTGTCAAGTAAAACCAAACATGTCTTGTCTCATCTCCTCCTAGGTTTGTTTTGTTTTGGTTTCATGTGTCAATCAATCAATCACGTGTATAGAAGAAGAAAAAAGAAACATTATTATTAAAAAAATGTCAGAAATGATGTTTGCATTGCAAGGAAGGTCATGTAGTAAGTAAGTAGTGTTGTTTATTGTTTGGACCCAGCTTTGGTACGTACATAAAGCCCTCATATAACATTATGGGAAAATGGGATAAAAAACTAGTTTGAGATTGTATCATATATCATATTGTTGAATGATGGATGGTTAAGATTAAAAAAAGACGGGACTCATTTTTTAAACCATGGTTAAAATTCTCGTCATAGTTAACCCAACATATAAAAAAAAAATGCAAAGTTGATTTTCAGCTTCGGTAGGTAAACTGCAAGTGGATAAAAATAGAGGTGTGTATATAACGTACAACAAAAGTGGCCATATATAGGCTTAATTACAAGTAAAACTGACCACCTGCAAAAAAGAATTATAGGAGGAAAAAAGCATTAATATTGCTCAACCTAGTGCTAAAAAATAGGTCATAAAGAAGAAGCAAAAGGATGAGATGAACGAAATCAAGCAAGAAGTTTTCTAGAAAAGAATGAGTATGAGATGTTTCATTAATAATAGACATTATCGTAGTTGCTTATTCAAGACAACAAATCTAGTGATGTCAATGGGATCAACCAACGGAGGAAGTAGCATTCCCGGCCCCTTCCCTCAAATTTCTCAGTGCAAAATTCTCCTATTTCCCCTCCCCCGCTCGACTCCCGTCCTTGTTTCCCCCATTAACAATGTTTGGTCCGAAATCCCCTTTAATTTATTTTTACTCGTTTGGAAAAGAGAGATCTAGACCGATTTAGGTTATCATAAGGCTTAGGGCCTTTGGAAAAGAGAGATCTAGACCCATTTAGGAAATCCCCTTTAATCTATTTTTACTCGTTTGGAAAAGAGAGATCTAGACCGATTTAGGTTATCATAAGGCTTAGGGCCTTTGGAAAAGAGAGATCTAGACCCATTTAGGTGCGGATAATGTAATTGAGGTGATCGGGGAGTTTGGGTTGTGCCTTGGAGCCAAGGGTATATCGGTAAAGTGGCAGTTCGAGCTCTTAATGAATTTTGGATTTTCGTTCGGAAGGTTTTGAGGTGAGGATAAGTTGATAGATGTGTAGAGCTTCTCGCTACCTTTCAGTGGATATAAAGAACGTCAAAAACGGAGTTGAAACGAAGAAGTTATGACCGTTCGAAGTTGGAGTAGTTCAGGTGAGTGATCGTTGACTTGTTGACCAAGCTCATTTAAGGCTCACGACGTGAGCATGAAGTGCTCACGACGTGAGGAGCGCCTGATGCACCAAAACCCTTACTTTCGGGTATTTAAAGGTATGAGATGATTAGGGTTGCTTCTCCTCGGCCTCTTTCACTCCCAAGACCTCTGGAAGCCCTAATCTCAACCCCCATTGAATTCCTTGATCATTCTTGGTGTTATTCAAGAGATTTTGAAGCTTTGAAGCCCTTTGAGGAAGAAGAAGATCATTGGTGGTGCATTTGTTAGCATCTTGGCTTCATCATCAGCTAGTTGAGGAGCTTTTGGACATTTGTAAGTCCTCAAGCTCATGCATTTCCTTTCCTTGCTTGCTAGATCTAAGTTTCCATGCATTTTATGGCTTGTAATGTTGGTTAGCATGCATGAAATCCATAAAGTTGGCAACTTTATGGATTATGTTTGTACCTTAAGTCCTATAAGTTCTGGATCTAGACTTTGGTGGTCATGGTTTTGGACTCCGAGTTTGAGTCTTGGCCATTTTTCCTTCATTTTGACCTAAGTTGGTGTTTGAGTAATGTATTGGACATATGTGACTGAAAAGCTTTGATTTTTATGGTCCTTGGGGTCAAGGAAGACCCTCTAGACCGTCCCATGTTAAAGCTTAATGGATTAGGAGCTTAATGCTCATTTTTGGTCAGATCTGGACTCACGACGTGAGGAATGAAGCCTCACGACGTGAGAGCGTGTTCGAGGAAGTTTCTGGGCCAAAGTCACGACCTCACGACGTGAGCATAAGGTGCTCACGACGTGAGCATCACCTGTGCAAGTTTTGGGTTCTTTGATTGTTAGCTAGCTTAGTATTGGACTTATCCTTTGGTTTGGGCTCGTAATGGGCTAAGGATTTTAGAGTAATGGACTTCTGGTTGGGCTTGCCTTGCTGGGCTTGTCCTAATGGGCCTTAGATGATAAATTGGGCCTTAGTGGTCCCAATGAAGTTAGGCCTTGATTGGGCCCAATGGGCTTGGACCTTTGGGCCATCGGAAAATCATTGGTTCAGAAAAGTAAATGGGCTTTAGGGAAAGGCCTATGTAAGGGTTTGGGCCCAATTTTGATGGGTTTTTATGGATTTGATAGTTTTGGGCCTTGGTTGTGAATCTTGTTGGGCCAGGGGTGAAACGGTCATTTCACCTCAAGTAAGGATTATGGAACATGGTTTGGAACCTAATTGCTAATTGGGTGACATTTTGGTATTGATAGCTCGGGGAGTCGGCAGGGCTGCAACCAAGGATTTCTTACTGTGAGATTCAACATTTAGGTGAGTTACCTTCCCAGTATAACTGGGTCGAAGACACCAATGCCGGCCCACTAGTAGTTGTTTATAGTAGAGATGATTGTCTTTGTGATAATTGTCTGGTATGCCACTATCTGTAGACATTTATGTGCTTGTATGCTATGTTATTATGTGATAGTGGTAGGGGCGAAATAGACCCCGTAGCCGGTTAAGATAAACCAGATGGTAGGTCGGGCACCCAGATATGCCTGATAGTATGTTTATGATATGTTATTATGTGATAGTGGTAGAGGTAAAATAGACCCCGTAACCGGTTGAAATACACCGAAGGGTAGGTCGGGTACCCAGATATGCTTGACAGGGTAGGTCGAGCACCCATATATGCTTGGCAGGGTAGGTTGGGCACCCAGATATGTCTGGCAGTATGTTTATGCTATGTTATTATGTGGTAGTGGTAGGGGCGAAATTAGACCTGGCAATTCGTGTATTCGTGTCATGAAAACGTGTCAGCCACGAATTTGACATGATACGATTACACGATGAGAAATATGCTTTATCTTAATTTTCAAGATGTATTCGTGTCGTGTCGTGTCTCTCACAAATTCATGTATTCGTGTCTCGAATTGCCAGGTCTAGGCGAAATAAACCGGTTGAAATACACCGGAGGGTAGGTCAGGCACCCATATATGCCTGACAGGGTAGGTTGAGCACCCATATATGCTTGACAGGGTAGGTCGGGCACCCAGATATGCCTGACAGGGTAGGCCGGGCACCCAGATATGCCTGACAGTATGTTGTTATGTGGTATGATAGGGGAACTCACTAAGCTTCGTGCTTACAGTTTTCAGTTTTGGTTTCAGGTACTTCTTCTTCGAAAGGAAAGGAGCCGGCATGATTCGCAACGCATCACACTATGATTTCCGCATTATGAGATCTTTGGGAGCTGTACTCTAATATTGTTTTCTTATGACATGTTTTGGTTATTGACGTATTGGTTTTAATTATGATATGGGATGACACTATCGATGTTTTCAGACTATTGGTTGTTATAATTACTTATTTAAAAACGGAATTTTTGGTCGTAAATTTTGGGATGTTACACATTTATTAGGGTATTCACTTTTAAGTAAAGTTTTCTAGTGACCCTTTAAGACTTTGTTCTAAGTCTTGGGCCGATGAGAGTTGCACTCTGTCCCTAGTCATCTAAGTTAAGCCGAGATGGTCACCTCGAGGCGTTTAGGACTTAGGTATTTTTTTTATATCAAGGTAAAGGTTATGAGCCTTTAAAGCCTTTGTTCATGTAATGGGTAAAGGTAATTGTAACGACCCAATTTTACAAAGAAAATTTTCATTATATTTTTTTTTTCCATTTAAAACCAAAGCCAATCCCCTAAACCATAAAATCCCAAAACATTTATTTTCAAATCAACATTCATTACTTCATTGTTTTCCTTTTTAAAACATCAGAGGGTCCCAAACACATCAAAAGAGAGATAGAATGCACGCCACGTCATCACGCCTTGCCCTTGCCCTTAGGCTCAGAAGTACCTGAAACAAATCAACAACCTGTAAGCGAAGTGCTTAGTGAGTTTCCCAGAGCATACCATACACATTCGCATACATATATCCTGATAGCTAAAAATAAGTATAAACATGCCACAGAAACTATGCAATACGATTCAACAAGAGTGCCATGGGCTACCCCACATGGTCTTTACCTAGGACCGCCATGGGCTACCCCACATGGTCTTACATCCAATGCCATGGGCTACCCCACATGGTCTTATATCCAATGGCATGGGCTCCCCCCGGGGTCTTCCATACCAACATAATATCACACAACATATCAATTCATAAATGAATAACACACACATAACATGATCACATAATGGGTCGGCCTTGGTGTCGTAGACCCATAGGTATGGTGAGAAGACTCACCTCCGTCCAATGAATACAATTACTGCCCTCCCAATAATCCGCAACCTACCAAGCTGAATAATAACAATAATATATAATCAATGATAAGACCTTAAATTACCCAAGGAAAGGCCCAACCTTCAAACTCTACCCCCAAGGCCCAATTACCCCTTTCTTGCAAATTGGACCCCAAAATCCAAGTCCAATATCCTTAATGGGCCCCTTGGCCCAATAAGGCCCAATCAATAAGTCCTTGGCCCAAACAGATGAAAAGGACTCAATCTTATAGAGTCCAAACAAGCTCATCAGCCAAATGAGGCCCAAAGGCCCCAAAACAGATTAGGGCCCATCTGAGCTGCGTACGCCCAACGTACCTCCCTGGTATGCGCAGCGTACTGAGGGTCTAGTGACTACGCGCTGCGTACATACAGTTACGCCCAGCGTACAATCGTATTAAGCACTTTTCCCATTAAGTGCTTAATGCTCGAATCTCTCACGTCCAAAAGCTAGATCTAAGATTGAAAAGATGTCCCAAGGCATAAAGTTGGCAACTTTATGCCCTTGCATGTCTCATACACTCCCAACCACCCCATTAAGACCTTTTCAAGGTCTTTTACCCAAGCATGAGGTCACAACTCTCATCAAGCTTCCATTTTTATACTTCTAAATGACCAGGGGACCTTAGATCTGACTTTCATATCAAAAGGGAAGGTTTAACTCAACAAAAGAGGTCCAAAGTTCATAAAAGGGACAAACCACCAAA